AAAACTTCAGGTTAGAGTTCATGAAGAATTTTGTTTTTTAAATTTCAATTCATGTCGCCACTCAGCATGTCAGGTAAGCGTCCGTCAGAAGCCCAGAGGATTAGCTACTGTTCCCTCATGGTTTTTTTTTGTATTATTGTAGAGCAGTCGCCTGCGTGAGATTCAGCAGAGTTTCCACAAAATCCTTCTTAGCAGTTAAAAGTAATATAATATTAGTTTACATAAGAGAAATTTTTTGACTTGTACATTTAAAGCCTGTCTCTCTAAATACCGATGTTTGACAGAGCTTTGAACTTCCTCGACGAGGCGGTTGACTCTTTGAATAATTTAAAACCAGCTCATTTTCGTTTTGCGCAGGGATCTGCCTCTGAATATTTGATTGGCCGTACCCACACGGAACATTTAGTCATCACACGGAGACAAACACACTTGTGTAAGTTTGTGTAAGCAAATCTGCATCCTTCATCCCCGGGATGTGAAGGGACACGGTGGCTTTGGGGTTTCTAACCATTTCTCTTCCTCGGTCACACTCCGCAAGTGTCAGAGCGGCTGCGTGTGCGACCGTCGGGCTTGTGTTTCTTCAGGGAGCCACACTCTTTTTCGTGAGCCCGGTTCAAATTCACCAAGACGGCCAGAACAGTGGCTTGGCTCGCATCGTCAAGCCATGAGAAACAGACCACCCCACCCCCCCACCCCCCCTCCCCGTCCTGCGCCTAAAGCCTCCGAAACATTTCATGGTTGTCAACTCATAACGCAGCAATGCTTTGAAGTGGCCCTGGACAGATTTGTTTTCACTTGAACTGGATGAGAAGTCAGGAGATTGATGAGCTGGATACATGCTGAGGCTTGAGGAAGCTTTCCCTGCACATTAGCAGCGTGCTACGTCCAACAAGACATTCACACTGGACATCTCCATTGTTTGGGTTTGGCTGTTATTTTGGCCGTCGATGCCGTTAGCGGCTTTTCTGACTCACTGACAGCTCAGAGCTTTGTTTCTTTTCTGACAGAGGGATTTCTGTCACATGGGGCGGCAGCTACAACCGCTCTCAGTCTGCCTCAGACACCCTCCTTGTAAATCGTCCCCCCTCAGCAGCGCTGTGCGGACCAAAGTGGCCACTTCATTGTGAAAAGATGAGGGATGGCATTCATGGCATGTCCGCACAAGGTCAAGAATTTGTGCATGTGTCCGTCACGTGTGTTTGTTGCTGTGTGCACATGTTTTGAGCAGAACCCACCGCAGAGACTCATGTGAAATGTTTGATCACAGAAAGTTGGCTCGTGCGATTGTTTTTTTTCCGGCCATGTGGGGAACTGCCTTGGACGTTGTTGCTCAATTTGGATAACAAATCTCCCCATTACCATGAAGTGCAATTCAAATTCCGTTTCCAATATTCCCTTAACCCCTTAAGCCCTGAAACACTTCCTCATCCTGTGTCTGCTTCTCTTTCATCTAAGGCTTAAATTCTCAGGACAGAGTTCTTGGTGGTAAATGTCTGGTGGTAATTCTCAGACAATAGGCGTTGATAATAGAATGAAAAGTGAGAAGGAGGGATAAAAGAGAGAGAGCCGGGGCGGTTTTGGCATTTCTGACCCCGAGGCAAATTGTGGTTTTACAAGGGAAGCGCTGAGGCCGGCGCACAGGTGGATAATGCAAAGACGGGAATCACCACATTCTTAACTCGGCCCTGAGAGCGTATCACATGTTGAGAAGTGGAGGATCACAAACTCACTTCTCGTCTCATCACTGGCTTTTTTGCTGCGGTGATTTAGGTGAAGCGAGGGCACCACAGTGGAGCTGGAGAAAGAGCCCTAACAGCCCCCACATTTCATCTTTATAGCCGGCTATAAAATACCCCAGTGAAAACAGGGAGGAACTGGGCAGAGGGAAATGTCACATTATTCCCCTGGAAAAAAAAAAGAGAGCACAAAGCCTCGGGAAAAGGACAAGAGCTCTCGTGTCTAAGCCGAGACTGAGCGAGACTAATTTCAACATTACTGATCATCTGGGAGGTTCGATTCAGAACTCACTTCATATCTTGAAGTGGAAGTAAATAATCTACTCTTCAGTCTTTGCAGTTCCCTCAAACTTCAGCCACTCTGAAGTACGTCTCTGACCTTTTCTCAATGCTTCATGACATTCATAAGAACGACTCACACTAATCGAAGTTCTGATTCACATTTCGTTTCTCGTTCCTCCTAATCTATTGTTCCTCGGCTCATGTTGGGAGTCTCCCCCGGTGCATCAGTATTAAGAGTGTGAAGTGGGCGGTTGAATAGCTTTGCCGGCCGTTTCCTGGCTGGTTTATATGCAGGTGTGTGTGTACTGTAGAATTTATGAGTGTCCACTATGGCTTCTAATGCTTTTCCTGAACACAGATGAGATAATGGAAATGCCAGAGTGAATAGTGTCCCCGTGTTGATTGTAATTGAATCGCTATGATGTCAGGTGCAAATCTGAGGTCAGGGAAACTGCAGCCAACTTGTCCACCGCTCTACGACTACATTACAACCCCTGTGCGCTGCTTTGTTAAATTGAAGAAGTTAATAGAAGTGTCCCGTGAGAAGATGTACTGTGCGGCGCCATCAACATAATAGCCATCTCAGAATAGAACTAAGATCCTGTTTCATGCAATAAAATGAACCCCTTGTCAGTTTTCTCAGCACTTGATCTTTAGCTTCCACCACGTTAGCAGCACGCATCAACAAACTCTAAATGAGCTTTTTCAGTGTTTCCTCAAGTGTGTTATGAATGGGTTTTTTGTGAACATAAAAGTTCTGCAAAGTTAAGAAGCCCAAAGTCAGTGAAGGGAGCTCCCCTCCCCCACAGAAAACACTGACGCTCCTGAAACACCTCGTCATTAATCTGGATTCCACGTGACATCACAACGGTGCCATACATTTGCGTAGTGCACGCCCATCTCCAGGTAAAGCAAGAACGGAGGCCGACATTTCCTGCACGCCCCTTAAAGAGACAGGCGCTAAAACCAAGTGTTTCAGACAGAGGCTGAAAAGAGGAGCTGCAGCAGTGGACAGTTTGAGGAAAGTGATGTTGTCTGGACATTTAAACCTTTTCGAGTAATAATACAAATTAGAATTATGAACCTGAATATAAGCGGAATGTATTTCTTTAAAGCTGAGCCGGAGTGAAGATGGCTATGTTTAGTGCAGATGTCATCTAAAAGCCTCAGAATATCAGCGTTTGTTCAGCACTACCAGCTCCTCTGCCGTCAATGCCCACCTGTCCTTCCACCATGTTTTCAATTAACATAACTGATCTGTTTTGTTTGCTGCACCTGCGTCTTGGAGACTAAGTTAGCTTGATGCTTTATCAACCAAATCAACATGGTAATCACGGAAATTAAAGATTGAAACGGTATAATTAACCATCTGGAATTTGGTTACAGGGAGACTGGTAACACTTTCATCTCCTTTAACTCTGAGTTAAAGAGTTTTGTGCGTCTTTTTGATTTAAATAGGAGAGTTTTATGTTGATTGAAGCCACAGCAGTGACTCACCTGCATATAAACATGCTCGTGGGAGGCAAGTGCACCTGAAGAAGCTCCTACCATTTAGTTTGTGATACTTAAAAAAAGTCAATATTGTTTTCTCTCCCCATTTGCATAACTGTCGATAATCCTCGGGGATCCACGTCAACGGTTTTGGTGGAAACACTTGCTGACGTTCCAACAAAAACTGTTGACTGTCACTTCTGTGGATTATCCAAAAAGAACAGGGATTGTTCCTCTGGAAAGGTCCAGAAGAATTACTCAAGGCCCTGAGCACAAAAAAAAGATGTGGTGGAGGCAGAAATCTCAGAAACAAACCCAGAGCAAATCAAACTAAAATGATGCGCTGTGTTTACCAGCCTCACATGACACAGGAAAACCATGACCTTGTATTTTGTAGTGGACCGTGAGAGAACAACAATGGACAGTGGACTATACATATCAGGCCACAACCAAGACGGCCTCTTCTTCAATACACGCATTCATGCAGCGCAGCAGCAGGCAGCAGTTTGCATGCTAAATCATCCAAGTCAATTAAAGAGTCTTCTCTCAGGCAGTAAATTGCCAGACTCTGATCTGCTGTTGACCTCAAATCCCAAACCAGAGGAGCCTCTCACCACCAGTCGGCATCTCTCTTCTCCCCAGTTCTGTAAAATCACAGGAAGTTTGGCTTTTACTTTATTTAATTATTTTTTTTACATGCCTGCCATGGGCTGGGCGAATCGCAATGACGCACGGAAACAGTATCGCCGTATATTTGCTTTTCAACAGCTACAGCCACAACTTTAAAAACACAAACCATGTCCATAGTAGAAATTGCACATGTTTTCCTGTTTGTTAGTTTTCAGGAGTTTCAAGTTAGGTTAGTCAGGGTCATTGCTGTTCTGCCCTTAATCCAAGAGCAGAGGGAGTCACCACGCAGAATTAATGTCTGTGTCAAAGTGAGAGCAGGCGTGGCAGGACAGGTGTCAACACCATTGTGTTAGGCCTGCGTCCTGCTCTGTGCGGACGTCCGTGTACCCTCCAATTTGTTGTCACCACACCACAACGCTGCGGGGGCACCAACTGCACATGGCCGCAGCAGACTGAGTATAGAAACAAGTATAATAAGAAGAACTATGCATCAGTGGTGTCCACAGCTGTCCCTGTGCGTGTCCACGATGGACTGTAAGTGAGGTTTTACACGCCTCCGATTCTGCAACGCCGCCATGCTATCCACACGGCCTCCGCCACACTGGGGCAGCAGCTTCGCTTCCAAACACGTATTTGTTGTTTGCTCGTACACACTGAACCTTCTTATTCTTTCACAGACCAGACGCAGATTAGTGCACTGCTCCCTCCTACTGGTGTAGTTACGTTATTGTCACTTACAATTTGTGAGGGCTCTACTGGTCAGCACAGTTTTGTTAAAAAATCCATAGGGTCACTGTGTTTTTCAGGTGTGTGTATTTTGACTAAACAAAGTCCGTCTTCACTCTCACATAAAGATGAATTAAATTGGAAGCGTGTTCTTCCCAGCATTCGCTCACATGGTTTGATGTAAAGGATTTTGAGGTTTTTATATGAAGTTTCACAGTGCCAGGCATTTTAAAGACGACCATAAATTAACTTATTAAGGTACATGGAAAATGGTTATTAAAGGAAACCTTTTGAACGGCCGCCAGCCAAGAACAGCTGTTTTTGTCAGTGTTCAGATGTGAGCGGCTGCTGCCTTCAAATGTAGCAGCAGAGAGAGAAAAATGCAATGTGGCTATAATTGGCTCTTTTCCGAAGTGTGTGGCTCACTGAGAGCAGAATGAGTCAATCAGTGTAATTGTGCCAATTAAGTGTCCAAACATCTTCAGAGATCCACCTCTGGGTATGGGAGTGTTCCAACAGGCTCTTCTCCTCAGAGCCACCTCTGACGCACATTGATGGGAATACAACCCCCCCCCCCCCCCCCGAAACCTCCTAAACACACGCGCATGTACGCACAAGCATGTACAAGCACATGTACATGGATATATATGTTTTTGTCTGAGCTGCCGGGTTAAACGAAAAGATTTTGAGACACACACACACAGGACTGATGATGTTTCTCTGTCATGGGCCCTGCAGCTGACGTTCACTTGCTAAAAGGGTTTGTGTGCAGGTGTTAGAGTGTGTGTGTCTGTGTGTGTGTGTGAGAGAGAGAAAGAGGGGGAGGGGGGGATAAAACAATACTTGGGGAGTGGGGTTTTGGAGAAAGCTCGGAGGGGCTCACCACATCATTTACTGATCAAAGAGTGGGTGAGACACGGGATGAGGGTCTACACGAGATTTTTTCTCCTGCACTGATTGTCGTAATTCATGTCAGCCTCCTTAGGGGGTGATTAAGAAAGTGCCGTAAATTACATAAGTGGCTATAGATGAGTTCTCTGGAGTCTTATTTCAAATGGGGCTATTACACGTTGACAGGCCTGAAAACAGAGAAGGGGAGAGAGAAATGGAGAAAGGCTACATAATCCAATCTTTTGATGGTTGGACCCAGTTTTTGAGCTTTTCAACTATTTCAGTCATAGCCTCAGGCCAAACAAACAGGTGTCTGCCCCCAATCTGGGTGGAGCAACAAACAGATCTGGGCTCATGATACGGTGTTGAAACCTTCTGAAAAACAAGGCTGGCTTCTTGTGAACATGGGAAGATTTCAGGTTGAGTGAACCTCCTGGTTGTTTTGACGGCAGGATGATAGAATAGAGGATAAATAAAAATGTGTCTAGATAAGCTCTTTCTTTGCTTATTCCCACCCCTGACAGGCTGAAAAAAAAATAAAAATCCAGTAACTGTTTGTCACATACTGAGAGTGAAAAGCTTTAAGGCACTTAAACTTGAGTTCAACCCAGAAAAAAAGCTTTGTCAATACTTCATTCTCAGTGTGAAAAGAGAGGAGGAAACTCTGGATAGTGTTTTTTGATAGGAGAAGAAAAGAAATGGAAACGCCCTTCACAACTTTGAGCACAAAGGGCGAAACGGGATAGCGCTGCGCCGTAGGGCTATTTCAAGATGCTACAATGAGGCGTGTCAGAAAAGAAGAGAAAAGGTCTCTGGCAATTACAGTGAAAAAAATAGCTGTGTCATCTTAGACGGCTTTCGGAGTCAACAGGGAGTTTGCTTTTATAGTTCTCATGTAATCTTGAAAAAGAAACTGAGAGCAAAGAGCTGAAATGGCACCATTATGACCCCTGTGTGCAAACTCGATTTAATTTATCAGCAGTTTTAAAGTTCCCATAATGGTCATTATTTACAAAATTGCACCGGGGAGAGTTTCAGCCTCCACAAAGATCTGAGGGTGTTTCTGTCTTCGATCCCGCTCTGTTTCGCTTTTTTCCTGAGTGAAACTGAAAAGAGAAATCACAGAGGGGCCTGTCCGCCTCATGTCGGGTCGAAAGTAGCCTGATGAGGTTCTGAAGCGGCCGCGGCCTCGGACAAAAGCTCTGCCCCATCACGCACACCCCTTTTCTTCAGGTTTGTGTCTGGCCCAGAACAAAGAGCCCCCCCCCCACCCAGACCTCCATCCACCTCCACCCATCAAAGAGCCGCCGGTCTGGCCCTTGACTGACGTGCACGGTCAAGCCTCCGGAGCGCAGAGGAAGAAGCTAAACCAACAATCGCCGGCGGGGGCTGTGCTGGGAATGATTGACACAGACAAGATAATCTCCCTCTGAAATATTATTGAGGATTCAGCTCTCGACAGCTGGGTTTTCAGGGGATAGTCGGCCTTTGTGTTGTTTTTGTACCCTCATATCCCCGCCGTCACCCCGTCTCTTCTTCCTCTTCCCCCTCCACCTTTCTCCACCTTGTCTTAACCTGCGTCAGCTCCCCATCACACGTTTAAAACGACACCCACAATAAGACCGACAAATCAGGCGAATGGCCGTTCTCGTAATGCTGCGCCGAAAATAGGAAAACCCAGCTTCACATCCGGGTTTCGTTGTTTCTGCTGCTTAATCAGATTGACTCAGTTTGCTGGTTTAACTTTTTACACGTGTGTGTTTTCAGAAATCCCGACGGGGACGTTCAGCCGTGGTGCTACATCGCTGACAACGAAGACAGCATCTACTGGAGATACTGCGACATCCCCTCGTGCCAGAGTAAGAAATCACAGCCGCTCCTTCATCATTCTTTCCGTCTGTCTGTCTCTCTCTCTCTCTCTCTCCGTCTGCTCTGCCCTTCCATGCCCTTGGGGCCATATCACAGGAACACGGACGTCATTTTTATTGCGATGCTCGAGTGCTATGAATAGCTTTTACTGTATGACTTGTACACAGCTATTACCATCTGAAAAATGCCTCTAATTGCCTCCCATCATCCCTCCTCCTGCCGTGCCCGGGCCTGCCCTCGCTTTAATGCAAGCTGTCAATCACGCTGTGTGTGTGTGTGTGTGTGTGTGTTCATAAAGTTCCCCTTTGGCTCAGCAACTTGTTTTGACTCGCTTTTTGATGTGAGTGATTAAATACATCAACCTGTTTGTGGATGACTTTTGTTCACATGTCCAGTGACACACACACACACACACACACACACACACACACACACACACACACACACACACACACACACACACACAGTGTTTCTGTGGTAATTCGATTTTTGATTTTATTTACTTTAACACTTAATGTAACATTTTTAATTTGTGCCAAAATTCAGATTACGTCAGAGTTTTTATTGCAGACATTTATAAAGTAAAAGACTCAATATATATTAAAGATGAAATTTGGCAGAGCAGACCTCAAGTAATCGATTTAATGATAATAAATATTTCACTTGCCTCCTCAGCCATGAATTATATTCCCTTCGCTTTTCTTATCGAGTCTCCCTCGACTCTTTTCTATTTCCTTTCCAAACACTTATAACCCTGTCACTGACCTCTGCGTTACCTAATATTCAACATGTCATAGGATTTCTCCTGCAGTTGAACCTTAAGGCCTGAAAGATAAAAAGCAGCATGTGTGTGAACTTTAGCCTAAACTGCTGGACAGTCGTTAACTAAGAGTTGAAGGGTAATTTTTATCACTGCAGTAGGTACCACCAGGTCTCAGGATCCTCCCAGGCCCTGCAGCCATCCCACCATTATCCTGTCTGAGTAGCGTGCTTTACCAAAGCCTGCTGTTTGAAAGGCTCAGTATCCATTAACCCAACTAATAATGCCTGTTGGCTGCACAGCCATGTGTGTATCCATGGTATTTTTGTGCATGTGTGCGAATGATTGTATATAGGAGGTCGTCTGCATCCCATTAGACTTTTGAGTGACCTATTTCAGACCATGTCCATTTATCTCAGTGTGTCTAGGCCAACATCCTGAATCTTTGTGGTCTGGGAGGAAAGAGGGGAGCAGCCCACACGGTCGCAGGGTTTGTCTCTTATCTGTGGTGAAAATCAGGCCAGCTTTTGTCCCAGATGGGTTTGCCGTGTGCTGGTTCAGCCTTGTTTTTGTCTGGGATCCAGTACTTCACAGCGTGTAACACATCCTTGTGACATGTGGCCCATTTCTGAGCGATTTGCCCGTATCAGATGCTGTCTTACATGAGCGTTCATTTTCCTGTTTGGGAATTAAAAGTTGTTCAAAGCCGTGTAATGTAAGGCAGAGGAGACAAGGTTTTGCTGTGAGCCATGTGTCATGAAAACATGCTTGTTCAGTGGAGACGGTTTCTCCCTGCAGGGATACCACGGAGCTTTCAGACACAAACGCTCTGTCTCATCTATTGTGAAGCCACAATCGCCATGTGGTGCCTTACCTTCTGGCGCTGCCTGTTTTCAACACGCTGCATTTGAAAGCCTCAGCTCCCAAGTGAGAAAATACTGATCTCTGTGTTAGTGCTGCTGGCAACAGAGAGCTGAAAAACACTGTGGTGTAGCAGAGAAAGGGCAACAGTGGTCTCTGTTTTCATTTTGTCTGGCTTTTGTTTAGTCTGTGCTTCGTTTCGTCTACTTCTTTGCTTACGTTTGATGTCGAGTGGCTGGTGGTTGGTGGCCGCTGGCTGCGGCACCTGGAGCCTGCCAACCGTCAGTCTGTTATCCAGCTGGGCTCCCTGTCATCTCGGGTCATGCCACCCCAGTGAGGGTGACACACCCTGGTGGCGCGCACACGGCCACGCAGGTCACATGAGGCCAGAAACACATACTATGACTATTCGGATTATAGGGTAGGTCACGACATTTGTTGGTCTTAGTAATCCCTCGTGGCAGCAGTTTTCATGTGGTGGAATTATCTAAACATTTCAAGAAGGCGCGCTGTCAAGGCACATCGTCTACTGGACAAATTGACATTTCCATCTGTGTCCTGCAACAATGACACTGGTTTTGAGGCCCTTCTCATTCCCAGGCCACTAAACGCTCAGCGAAGCACTAACTTCTCACTATGGGCTGTGATTTCTTCATGTCCAGTTCCTGTGAAGCCAGAAATCTAACATTTCGGAAATCTCCATTTCCCCACGACTAAGTCATTATTTCAACTTCAATAAATGTCAAGAGTGAAAAGATAAAAGTTTATTCTCTGTACTCGTAACATTGTCTGAGGTACACTTTTCTCAACGAGCCTCCAATCAAACTAGACACAAACTAGAGCTCACAGCAAAAAGCATTATTTTAAACTTTACACACGAGAAGTCAGACGATTCCTTGATAGTGTTGCAAATCGTTTTTTTGTGTTAATGCCAGTTTGACCTAAAGCTGCGTTTTCACCACAGGAACTTGGAACTGTGAACCTCTGCAGGGACCAGGGTCGAAATTAAAATCTTAGCAAAATCTTTTTAACCCTAAAAAGTCCCTGCTTGGGAGACGGTACTTAACAAAAGTATTGGAACCTCAGGGGTTGGCAGCGCTGAAGATGCCTGATTGGTTGAGGACTCGACGTTTTGAAGCCGGTCGGTTTCCGCAGTAGCTCATAAAGTCTCTCATAAAAATCCTTGACTAACTAAACGTAACATTTCAGGTCTTTTGAAAACTAAACTGAAGGTTTTACTTTTGGTCAAAACGAGAAATCTGCTCTGTGCCGATGTTGAGCCGATTTCGTGTGGTAGTGTGAGGGGTTCCAAAGTTGTTTAATGAGCAATAATCTTTGTTTCGTTGTGTGTTTAAGATTATAAAGAAGAATTTCTGTGAAGATTCTGCTGTCATTGGTGATGCAACCGGATTTCGTAATCGTTTAGGTGTAGTTGTGGTCTGAGGCCAGACTAAGATAAACTCCAGATGAAAGTTCATATTAGTGATTCATGTGACTTCAAAATGACTCAGTTAAGTGGTAATAAAATCTTACAAATTGTGGCACAACCCTACTTTATGTCTCTTTTTTAATTCTGGCATCTGCAGCAAATGTAATTCATTATAATTAATTTTCATAGGTTCCTCATGCAGGGTGTTCCCCACTGGAAGGACATTGTGTTTTGTTGTGGCTCCGGTAAGTTGCCAAGCATTTGCCCCGGCTGAATTCGACTGACACAGACTGAAACTGTGAGGCTGAAGTCTGTCGAGCGTTTGCCAAGACATAGACTTTGATCTGCATGTTGGAAGCTAATCTCTCAACAGCATAAAACCAAGAAAAACTTGTTGTGCCACTGTGTCCTGTTCTATCTGTAAAGAGTTTTTTCTGTGTTTCTGTGCAGTGACTTTCAGGAAAATGCAAAAAATACAATACATATCATTCAAAGGAGGATTATAAGATTAGTAGCAAAACTAAATTGCGTACTTGTGTAAAGTCGTTTGGGTCGGAGTGTACCACAGTTAAAGTCTGGACAAGTTCAGAACGGGTCCTACCAGTAGTTTTGCAGGGTTTTTCTCTAGAACAGGGATTAGAGAAGATCTCTGCAGAGGTTTTGTCTTTCTGACACAAACGTTGGTGCTGGAACTGGAAAAAAAACTACAAATAATACAAAAATGAAAACAGATGCAGTTTTGTTAAAGTTTTTATAACCAATTTCTTTTCTATGGGATTAAAGCTCCAATTTATTTAAATTCTGACAACATCATCATCATCATATAACCTGTTGACTGTGTGAGTGATAAATCTGTTCATGTCACACATCGTTATTGTAGATGACAATACTCACTGTCTGGGACAATGAGCCTCATTGTAAGCGACTGTGATATTTGGATATTTATTGTCATGGAGCTTTCATCGTGTTTACACCTGACTAATTAACACACTTGATGTACGACTCGAGTGCCGCGCTCACAGCAGGTTATACTTTAATCTTTTTGAACTATTGAGGGAATGTTTGATTAACCCTGTCTGTCACCGTGAAACTATATGGTCACAATGGCAGCAGCACCACAAGCATCTGGCAGCTGAGCGAGCACCCGCACCTCAAACACATAAAAACAAAGTAATTACTGTATGTGTTTGATCCAAGCTTTTATTACTGAACACTAAAGGAAAAATGCAGTGATGAGATTCCATCTTCATTTTGGGTGATTTATGGATGTGACCAGAAGACTGTCTCTCCAAGCTTTCCTTTTTTCAACCTTTGGGGATGAAGCTGAACTTTCCATCGGTCAGAACTTAACAAGGTTTCACAGAGATATTTTTATAATTAACTTTTTATTCCGTTTGCTGTAAATGTCCATTTTTATTCGCTCAAATGCAGGTTTTACAAGCCCTGACCTCAGTGATTCGCTGACTTTTCCTCTGGTGTTACGATGACGTTTATCCACGGTTTGGTTCATTTGCAGTGTGAAAAAATTTTTTTTAAGGGATAGTTCAGACTTTTTGGATCAATTGCAGAAAGTTGAGAGAGCATTAAACAATGGAAGAAGAAAAAGAAGCAGCTCACAGTCTTCACCTCCGACGATAGAATGTTTGAATGACGAGGTCTCAGAGTTCAGACAGAAAAAAAGCTCTGTCGGTTTCTGTATCTAACGCTGAGCATAACTGAGCTTTTAGCTGTGTCCAAATACGTTTCAGGGCTCGAGCTCGTGGAGATGGATACAAGAACAGATCGAAGAAAATCAAGATTAGACGGTACGAGAGCAAAAATGAATCAAATGTGATCAATAAAGCAGCTTTCAAACCGTGATGTCGTGCTTTACAGGAAGAAAATTAAGAATTGAGGGTGAAAGCAGTTTGACGATGACACGGCATTAGGGCAGAAATATAAGAGTGAAAGTGCTGCAGATGAGAAAAGAAATAAAATATAATAAACCAGTCAGTGAGATCAGAACCAGGTGAATTCACCATGACGTCTAAGAATATTGATTTATGATGCTCGTAAAGTTAAAGAGGTTGGATCTGTTCCAACCAACGGCTTC